TTTCCTCTGCTGTGCCACCATCCAGGAAAACTTTGCCACCAAATCTCTGGGGAATGTTTGAAAGAAAGCAAATATTTGAGTATTTAAATCGGTAAATGCTAGTACAGTGCAGGATCTCTTGTGCACCTCACTCAGGCCAACAGTAGACTGGCTATATATACCTTTGGGGTGTACTGACTGAAGCTCTGTTTCACAGAGCTTAGTGTTAACACAGGAATAAAACTTTAGTTGGAAACTCTTTGATGTCTCTCTCTCTTCTTCTGAGAGGATCCCAAGATTGCCAAATCCATGATTTTTTTTTTTCTAAGGTTTCTAGTGGAGATGGTAAAAATAAATTTCATGGAAGATTCTTGACAATGAGATGCTATTTGGCCAAAATAGGCATTATCACAGACTCAGCATACTGTTTCATTAAAAAATTCTACTTTTTAAAAAAAAGTCTAATCCTTTTTGTGTGGGGTGGGGGAGGGAATGGAAAGGGAAATATTTTTGGTTGAGCTCTTCTGTCCCCAAACTTTAAAAAAAAAAAAAAAAAGGCTTTTCATTTTTTTGAAGAGAACCTGATCATTTTTAAATAAAAATAATTTTTGGACAGTTTAAAAAAAAATCTGCATTCTGTAGTAGCAGAAGAAATAAAAGTCCCCTCCCACTTTTGGATCTTTTTTCTAATTTCTTTTTTATTATTTTCTCCATTGGGTGCATCCACACATGTAAGCATGTGTGCTTGCAGCAGCTCAAATAGAAGCGGTGTAGTTTGAGCCAGGGCTTTTTGCCTCAGCACATGTGCCCAGACATGCACTCTGGTGTGGGGCAAATTGTGCCACTTAGGGCAAAATAACCCTGCCTGGCTCCTCCTGGATCTGCAGCCAGGGGGAGCTAGAGCCCAGGGCCAGCACCTGTGTTGTCCCCAGCAGTATAAAAAGCTGCCCTGTCATGGCCCCATCAGTACAAAAAGCTGCCCTGGCAAGTAGCTTAGGGCTACTTGCTCTTAGGAGCTTCTGGGGCCCAGCCAGTTGGTACTTGGGGACACTACCCCTTGTACCAGCTGAACTGCTGAAGCAACCCTGAGAGTGCCCTGTACCCTTTACCCACTGCAACAATCTGGTAGTGGAGGCTGCTGCCTGGCTGTGACCTGCTGCACATCTGCCAGACCCAGGGGGGGACTGCAGAGCCAGTAGAGGCATCTGCCCCTTTGGGCCAGTGCCAGTGGGCTGTGGTTGCAGAGTTGGTCTTTGTGTGATACTATTGCCATGTGTGCCCCTGCCCAGCCACCTGGGCAGCTGTCTCCTGGAAGATGTTCTGGGTGTGGTGGCCTGCTTTGAAAGCCAAAGCATGTCCTCCTGGCCCAAGTTAGCCAGGAAGTCAGTCACCTCCAGCTGGGTCCAACGTGCCAGCTCTGAGCAGGCTCCACTGCCTGGGTCCTGCCACTTGCCTCCCTAGCGGGAATTCTGGTGTTCCCTGTTTGAAAACTGAAAAATCCTGGATTTAAAAAATCCCAAAGTCACTGTAAAATACCCTGAAATCCATGTTCCTCCACAATTAAAACAAAAGACCACTAGATATATAGAGAGAGTGAGACAGAGAGACAGTGATCAATTGGGCAATGTTTTATTGATATATCTACAGTGTTAAAGCAGCTTGGAAGCCTTCTAGTGTCTCTATCATCATAATAAAATTAATTCTAAATACTTATGTTTTGCTGCTTGCCTTTGGTTTTCTTACCATAGAGCAGTTAGAGCTCCCTGTGACCCCTTCACTAATCGGGATGTGGGGACATCTGCCCCTGCAGCCACAGCTCCTGCCAGCAGGTCGCATCCTGCCTGGCCGCTGGGCCACGCAGGGTGTGTGCTGGGGGGATGTGGGGTGTGCAGGAGGGGTGTGGGAGGATGTGGGGGACCATGGGATTTGTGGGTGGATTGTGGAGGGACTGTGTGGGGGGGGCTGCTCAGGAGGGGTGGATCCTCTACCCCCCGCAAGATGCAGCCCCCCTGCACACCTCATGGACTGCCCCCCACAGGAGTTACAGCCCCACTTCACAGGGGACACATGGCCCACCCCCGCTTGCTCCCTCAGCCTCCTGGATTGCTGCCCCGCATGGCCCCATCCCCTGGCAGCTCCTGCAGCCCCCCCCATATTGCCAGGATGATGGGGCAGGGCAGGGCAGTGATGGGGGGAGCTCAGGAGGCAGGCAGTGGATGGGGTTGGGCAGGGCAGCGGGCAGGGGAGGGGGGCTGGGGGAGGGGGGGGGGCC